ATAAGGGGGCATAATGCACGGGCATGTCCGGAATCATGACATTTCCAAAAAAATGGACGATTTGGGGCGATTTGGAGTTCATGTACACCATCTACTCGTTAATAATTCATTTTCTTTCCCAATAATAAAAAACCTACAATCGATCCACGCACTTGCAAATTCCCCACGATTTCTGCCATTCCAGGAATCGCCCGGACCATCACATTGATCGCCAGCGCGGCCGTTTGGTCCGCCTCCACCAGAATCGTCACCGCAGAGCAGGCATCCCCGCGGTCAAATCGCGCGGCAAGCGAAGTCGGCGGGTCGCTGCGGACCAAGTGTTCTTCTCGGAGTCGCTTTTCGATCTAGTTCGCATCGAATCCGTGCGGAATACGTTCGCCAATCGTTTTTCGAGGGCTTCCTGCGCGCGATGGCGGCCCTTCCGCTTGCACACGCGGATGTCGCGCTGCAGCTTTTCCCTCTATTGCTGGAATGTTTCATGTTCGGCCTACGCTGCTCTCTAAGTGTTCCCGTTCGTCGGGACGCAGCGCGCTGGAAGTCACGCGCGCGCGCCGAACCTCCACGCAGGCCTCGTAGCCCCTCGCGGGGATCGCGGGGATCGCAGAGGTTTCGGAGGAGGTGGTTTGTGTTCCGAATTGTGTTCCGAATTGTGTTCCGAGAGAGGAGTCTTTATGGAGAGATAAGGGTGTTTGATTCGTTGGTGATTGTGTTCCATTAATTTGTGTTCCACTCCCTGATGACTGTGTTCCACCCACCTATGTTTCATCGATTTGTGTTCCGCCTACCTGTGTTCCACTTCCTTGTGTTCCATTGATTTGTGTTCCACCCTCCTTCCTATCCATTGGACCCTCCTGGGAACACAGATCCCCCAGCAGCAACTCCACGTTCTGCGCGGAAATCGTATACGAGAGATCGCGCGCGGTGGGATTCAGCAGCTTAATGAAGCCTTGCCCCGCGGTACTGAGCGGGAAACTCCCCAGCGAAATGGGCTGCGGCGAGAGAATCTGGAAGTCGACCTCCCTGCAAATCGTGGCCTGCAGTTTGAACGTCAGCGCGCGCGTGTCGTTGAGCAGATTCCGCACCACGATCTTTCCCTAATCGTCAACCCATAGAAACGTGGAAACGGGGTAATTGCCGATGACGGAGGGCGTGAGCGCGATCTTCATGAGATTCCATCCATTGTGCGGGATGAGCAGTTCCTTCTCTGTATTGGTGCGGTCCATATTGTAATTGAACGACTGCGAGAACTGCACCGGCACGTCCACCTCGCTCTACGCCTCACCGCCGCGACTCGCCACGCACCGAGTTCCACAGCTTGATCGAGTACTCGTACCGCGTGTTCGTGAACAGCTTCCCGAAGTTCAGGCTCGTCTGCGCCGTCCGCAGTTCGCACCGCACGTTCTCCACACACACCTCCAGCTTCACCCAGAACGCGTCGTTCCCCGTCATTACCACCGGAATCGCCGGCGACTCCGCCGACACCACGCTCACGCCCGTCGACAGCGTCGGAAGGAACACAGAATCCCCGCGGGAGCCAGAGGCGGAGCGGGATTCCGCGGGAAACGGGTCGAAATTCGGGAACTCGTCCCGCTCGTTGAGGTCGTCGAGGTCGTCGAATTCTCCGGGTTTCCCCGCGGGTTCCACGTGGAAGTTCGATCGAAGCGTCTGGATTCGGTGCGAATTCGAAATCGAATTCGATTTCGAACTCAAATTTGAGATCGAATTGTGTTCCAAATTGTGTTCCAAATTGTATTCCGAATTGTGTTCCCGCTCGGAGTGGACCGGGAGGTTGAAAGGCGTGAAGATGCCAGAATCGAAGACATTCCCGCGGTCAGCGTGTTCCGCGGGGGAGAAGGGAATGTGGCGGCAGGCGATCTGCACCGGCTCCAATTCCCCGGGCGTTTCCTCGACGCAATGATAACAAAAATAGACGAGAACCGACTGGTTCTTCTGGATCAAAATCGGGCCGTTTTTTGGAATCTGAAACCGCTTGAGGCGTTTCAAAATGGAACGTCGAATCGAAGCCTGGTACATGAACGTCCCCTCCATCTACGCTGCCATTCCCGCGGGAAACCTACCTGCAGGTTCATCCACCGAATCACTTCCGCGGGATTTTCCCAGTCGATCTCCACGAACCGCTGTTTCTCCGCGGGAATCCCGGGCGTTTCTTCGTTCTGCACGATTTCGATCTGCGACTGCGAGCGATTGCGGAAGTGACTTTTCTCCTCCGCCTCCGAATTCTGACGCACGTGACTCCCCTCCAGCGCTTCGCTTCCCGCCAAAACCTCGATTTCCCCGTCGCTCCACTCCATCCGGTACTTCGCGGTCTCTCCCCGCGGGGAGGCGGCGGGGTCAATTTCCGCGGGAGGAAGGTGAAAATCGCGGGAACTGTCCAGATTCAAATTGTTGATCCACTTCTGCTTTTCGTCTTCGATTCCCGCGGGATTGCGGCGAAGTCGCTGCATAGGAAGGAACACAAATCGGTACCGCGGGTTTTGTTTCCGCGGGGATGTAATAGGCGGTGATTTCCGCGGGGAGCGTGAAGAAAAGATTGAGCGGAAAGGCCTTTTGGTTCAGAATCCGGACACATCGTAACATATGGGCCCCAAATACCACCTTCCCAAAATCGAGCCGATTTTTTATGGAATTCCCCGCCTCGGCACACGGATCGGAAACACAAATCGCGTTATGGAGGGAAGTGTCCGGCTGCAAAATATCGGCCAGAATCTTGGCATGACCGAAATCGAGGCTATTTTCTACCTTGCATTGCAGACACTGCGGCGGCGCCGCGGCGATGTTAAAGATCTCCACGTAGTTGTGATACTCGCTGTGCGTCGTGCGCACCGTGTACGTCACGGGGATCGAAATCGCCCCGTTTTCTGGAATCACGATCGAGTACGCGATGTCCGCGATCGGATGCGCGATCTGCGTCTGCAGCCGCGCCAATTCTTCCGACGCCAGCGACTCCAGCGTCGGATACGCGAAGCTCAGCGACGATGCCGAGCACGCGATTACCGCGGGACACGCCAAAGGCGACTGAGGGTCAGTAAAAAAAAAAACCGCGATTATCCTACTTCGTTCGTGATCACCATGTCGTGCGTGAAACTCCCGCCCGGAACACAATTCTGGTAGTGAATCGCGGGAGTGACGGCGAGTCGGCTCTGGCAGGTCTGCGCTCTGCAGAAAAGCCCGATTTCCCCGTAATCGCGCTTGGACCGAATCTCAAAAAGCAAGTAAAATGATTGGCTGCGTAGCTCCAGACTCGATTCCCCGCGGTTCCGTTTCTTCGGCGTGTAATCCAAGTAAATTCGGAACGAAGAATGCGCGCGCACCGATACGGTTTCCACGTTTCTCTCTTCCCACTGCGTCAGCCCGCTGTCCCTTACCACAATTCCACGATTCTACATTTCCGTGGAGAAACTGTCCGGCGTCAACGCTGATTGGCTCTCGTCGAGTTCCGCGGGAATCCGCGATTGGTTCGCCACGAACGCGATCTACCCATCATCTCGCCATTCCCGCGGAAACCTCCTCGGTGCGGTCGGAGGTCATGCGGACCGCCAAATCGAATTCGGAATCGTTCGTTAAAAATAACTCCCGCCTGGATGAAACGCCCTCGAAGCAGCCGCCAAAATCGACGATCGCGTCGTCGCCGGTGAGCGGCCGGCCCTGTGCGAGCGATAAAAACACGTCGTTTTGCTTAATGGCTTTGGTTGTGAGCTAAACAGACACAGAGCAGGGATGATGATTACGGTAATGATGGACAACTCCGTGCTGTCTGTGAGGTCCGTTTCGTTCTGCAAGCGCAGAGGAATCGTGTGGTAGCCGGTCTGCAGCGGCTGCACGCGCAACAGCATCGAAATCGACTCGTTTTCTGCCAAAATCGTGGGTTTTTGCATCAATCTATCTCAGATTCCGCCGTGACCACGCGGTACTTGGGCGTTTCGTCGGTGGGAATAAAGATGGAGCAGATGTAGGAAGAGGAGGGAACGGTTTGGAGGGAAAAAGCGACGGGGAAATGCGAGGGGTTGGTGATGGTGATGGTGCGCTCATACAAGATTCCGACGTGAAGATCGTTCATGAAACACTCCGATTGTGAGGCGATCACGTGGGTCTCGCAGGTGCGGAAGAGAAGGGGAAGGTGTTCTGTGGTGGTTTGGGAGGAAGCGGAGGAAGAGTAGCAGCGAAGATGAAGATCGCCGCGCGCGGAGAAGGGCTGCGAGGATTTGTCTGGAACAGGAGCAGCAAGAGCAGGAGGAACAGGAGCAGAATGCTGGTTTTGTAAATCAATGACTTAAATAAAATACGGTGGATTCCAAGATTTCCTTGGTTACGATGAGAAAGAGAAGGAATCGACGTGACTCGCCCTTCTTTAATTCTGCTTTACTTGTCTTGTAGATACTAGAATATAATTCATTTGGACGTTGGGCATAGCGGTAGACTGGATTCTCAGCGAAGCTGTCTTTTCGTTATCCACACATACAATCCAATGAGTACATTGCAGATATTCCATATTCGGATTGTTCTTCTCAATTTCCAGCTCCACGCCGGAAAATGCAGAAGAAAACGAAAACTCCACATAGATTGTCGTATCGGTTGTATTTTCAATTGTTATATCTCTTGCAACAGGCCTACACGCAAAAGGATCCATTCAATCCTTACACGCCGTTACAATAAATATTACCGAAATCCAGTGATTCTATTCCGCCAGAAATACGAATCATGGATTCTCGTTCAATCGTAAGAATGGGATTATAAAAGTGCTTCTATTTATTAAAAAAAATACAATCGTTAAAAAGTGTTTGATTGTTTCTATCACTAGTGACAAAACAAACGATGGAATGAGATAGAAAGAAATAGATTGGAATTGAATAGATTTGAAAGTTCTTTTATATATATATATTTTACAACGCTTTTCGCCTTTTGGAAATCCACTTTTTCGTACGATTCTTCACAAACGATCGTATCGTATTATTTCTAAAAGATAATACAGAATGAATCATATGCCAAACGAAGTGCTGGCGGAGCTGCGTGCTCTCCCAGGTAATAATGTACGCTCGAAGAATCTGTGTGAATTAGGTGTGTGTAGATTGCGGCGCTTCCCGCCCTCAGTGGGCTTCTGTGTCTTACGGCACGTTTATCTGCTTGGAGTGTTCCGGAAAACACAGAGGACTCGGAGTTTGATCATCCAAGGTTTCTCACGCACAGGTCCACCTGAGCTTTGTACGCTCCGTCCAGATGGATTCCTGGACGGAAGACGAGATCAAAGCTATGCAGGTTGGTGGAAATCAATCCTTGCGCAGCTTCTTTGAGGAGCACGGAATTTCGAACGATGCAACAATCCGTGAGAAGTACTCCAGCCCCGCAGCCGCGCTCTACCGTGAAATGTACCTTCTGGCGTGTTCCACTTCTTATTCCCAGCATCAAAGCGAAGATCCGAGGCGAAGAACCTCCGACCGAGCTCCCTGCAGACTATGCCGTCTCATCCGAAGAAACCCCGCAAGATCGCCTTCGTTCCAAATTCGGCGAAGAAGGTTTGGGGAGCCAAGTAAGTTTCCACGCGTTTTCTCATCACTTCAGGGCTTCGGTTCGACCCCTGTAACCGCTTCGAACGATTCGAACGCTCCGAATTCTTCGAATTCTTCGAACTTCGATTTCGGTTTGCCCGAAAACGTCTCCAAAGCGCTCGGCGAGTATCGTAGAAACGTGGAACCTGACGGTCAGGTTCGGGGAGTCGCTGAGCTCAGTGGGGAATAGTGTTCTGCAGACGTGGCGGGAAACGGGAATCCAGGAAAAACTGGAGAGCGGCGTTTCGGCGGTGAAGACGAAGCTGACGGACCCGGAGCTGCAGAAAGAAGTGAAGCAGAAGGCGCAGGAAGGATGGAGCTGGCTGGCGGGAACGGCGACGACGTGGTGGAACGCGGCGGTGAACACGGCGAGCTCGATTGCGAACGAGTTGGGAGAGATGGTGGATATGGGAGGAGAAGGGGGAGAAGAGAAGAAAGAAGGGGAAGGGGAAGCGAAGTGAGGAAGAATGAGTGATTTAGGTGATGGAGTGTTTGTTGGAAACATACGAGGGTGAGAGAAGGGATTGGAGGGTAAATGTTGGTTTGAATGAGAATCGAGGAGGAAATGGGAGAGATTAAAAAAAAACTGACACATTCCTGTTCAATGAGTTTCCGATATTTTGTTTGTTTATGTATATTACTGCATCTTGTATGTGGACAGAATCAAGAGTAGGCAACTTTCCGTGTTAAGTAAATTAGGGAACAAGTACAATGTAATCCGATTGGAACGTGTATGCAGTGTAAAGAACACCATCTTGTGTGATAACAAAGGACGGATTATGTCTAGACCCATAAAGAATGCTCGGAGACTGGATGGGTGCAGGAAAATTTATGTGTTACAACGTACATATTGTATTTTTATTTCTAGCGTAGTGTGAATGGCAAAGAGACAAGTCGTGAGATTCATGTTGCTTATTGACGATGTAAATCAATTGCAGACATTTGCGTGTGCGGAACCTCTGGATGCGAGCGGGATTGAGATGAGTCATCTGAAAGCTTTGGTATTTCATTCTACTTTGTCACGTATCTAACACGTAGGCTCTCTTTTTTTGCTTAACCGGATTGTCCACTTTTTTGATGTTACTACGTCGTCGAAGCTATTTTTATAAGCGTTCTTTTCGGCATACATTTGGTCCGAAGCTATAATTTATGATATTTGTGACACATTGTTTTTTTGTTCAAAACATCCTGACTAGCTGGTTTTCATGTAGCTTTCCTTCTCTCACCACTGGCTGACTTGTAGGAACCAGAGCTTCAGCTATCCTGGTGAACTCACTACGGGGCAAGTCAATGCTCGGCAAGCAGCACAAAACACGAGTATGATTCAGTCGAACGCCGTTTCCTTTCCTGGAATGACTCCGTTCCATTCAAACCAGAATTCGTATATTATCTCTCAAGACTTAGCTCAGCTACAAACAATCGGTCCTTTAGAAAGCGGAATGCCGCTGTATCAAGGAATTGTGAATCCTCAACAGAATGCTCAGGATTACTTAATTCACCGCCCTCCCCAAAGACCGTGCAAGCGGCCTCGCCGTTACCCTTGTCAATATATAGGATGTGATCGAAGTTTTGATTCGCAGTGGGCATTGGAGCGGTAGGGATGCATTTGTTGGGATGAATGGCTAGACATATTCGCATTCACACAGGAGAGAAGCCATTCTGTTGCTCCTATCCGGATTGTGGTAAAAGCTTTACGGATAAATGCGCTCTGAAGCGCCACGAACTCACGCACAACCCCGAAAAGCCCTTCAAATGCAGCTTTCCGAACTGCAATAAATGTTTTAAGACGAAAAATTATTTGGGTAGAATTTCCCTCCAAACCGATGAAACGCAGAAATTCACCGTCGTCTGCACACCGAAGAAGACCCTTACAAATGCCACTTCAAAGGCTGTGATCGTTCGTTCTCTTCTCCCAAGAGTCTGAAGCGACACGAAAAATTATGGCATAACACGGGCGGAACGGAGTCGGCCATCGAACACGAACTTCGCGAGAAGATTATTCGCGCACAGAATCGCTATCGAGTAATCCGCAACACGACAATTTTGATGTTGTGTAGGTGAAGGCGGCCAAGCTCGACTTGCAGCTGAAGCGAGCGATGGCAATCAACAAGGCGCTGAAGAAGGAGAAAGCGGAGCTGCACAAGTTCGGGCAGTCGCAGGAGCTTCGAAAGAAGGAGCTGGATGCGAGCGGCGAGCTGAAGATCGCGAAGGAATCGCCGGAGAATTTGTTTTTGCAGCCGCTGCAGACGGAGTTGGGGATGCAGCAGGGATTGGAGGCGGGCGAGGGGAGCCATAAAGCGCAGAATTCGATCGCGATTCCGGCGATTCATTCGCTGGAGGGGAATTCGAATGCGATGGAGTATACTGTGAGTACGATGATGCGGGATCCGATCACAGAGATTGCGTTGTAAGCTGTTTGCGTGTTGTTTGTTTGTTATTATATATATATATATATATATATATATGTGTGTGTATGTGTGTGTGTATGTGCTCAGAGAGAGAAGAAAGGGGATTGGGAAAAAATAAAAAGGTGTGGGAAATGCTAATAGATTCATTCAATGATATTTATAACTGATAATGGAGTGAGTAGATTGAATGGTTTAGTTTAAAACAACAATGGATGATTTCCTGTGTGGAGTGGAATGGAGTGGAGTGGAGAAGAATAGAAAGAAATATTGGAGTAAAAGAACAGCATCGAGACTTCTCAGCGAGTCACCCACACTGGTACTAACTCGACTCGTGATGACTTAGCTTCCTAGATCGGACGGGTTAGGGCGCTTTCCATCAGATATGGCCGTTCTCATTTTATTTCTATTCACTAACCTATTTATATATCACATTCTTATCATCACTCATTCACTCACATATTTTGAGTTACATTTCTGATTCTTCATCAACTGCAATCGAGAACAAACGATTCCAGTGTTGTGTTTTCAAACAAAAATGCTATCATATCACACATACATATTTTACTTCTTCAAATTCACCAAGAACTTCGAGATTCCTGCATTGTTAGGAACGAAAGTTTTATCACCTTCGTGCCAGTTCGCAGGACAAACTTCTCCGTGTTCATCACTGAACTGAAGTCCCTTGATCACACGGATCGTTTCGTCCACACTACGACCAACTCCATTATCATTTATATAAATATGACGGATTTTCTGATTCGGATCGATCAAGAACAATCCTCGGAAAGCTTGAGCATAATCCAAACCCGATTTATCTTCATTGTATACTCCATAGTTCTTCATCGTCTCACGAGTCACATCCGAAAGCAACGGAATATTGATAAGACCACCCAGTCCACCCTCAGAACGGGATGCCTTCAACCAACTCAAATGAGTATAAGGAGAATCTCCAGAAATTCCAAGCACTACAGTGTTCACTGCAGCCAACTTGTCCGTAGCATCATTATAAGCGAATATTTCGGTGGGACAAACGAAAGTCCAATCCATGGGGTAGAACAACAGAATTACCCACTTTCCCTTGTAGTTATCAAGCGAAATATTAGAAATTGTTTCAGTTCCTTGAGCTCCATTCAAACAAAAGTTGGGAGCAGTTTGACGAATCGTGACGGGCATTTCTTAACTTGTATAAATATAGATAAATAAATAAATAAATAATTAATGAATATTAATGTAGATAGATAGCTCATTTTTGTACAAAGAAAAGGTTGGGAACAAATGAATGAAACTCCCTTCTTTTCTCAAGGATTCTGAATATACAACAATCGAACAGTTTATGAATGACTATGTTGAAAACCGAAAATAGAATGAATAGTAGAATAGATTAGCAACACAGAATTGGATACTTGTGGATGAATATAAGTGGAGAATACATTAAGTTGTTCTGTTGTTTTAATTGAAGTATTGATATAATAAAGAAACGATTACCAAATTGTGTTGACGTCTTTTCTGAGGTTGAGGTAATTCTTATTGCAACTTATCATTTCCAAGTAATATAGAAGAAAACAAAATACATCTGTTCAAATTCTCACAATCACAGTGACTTATTAATGCAAATCAACACTAAGCATTTCCATACAAAACTAAATACGAGGGAATGTCATTCTTTTGAAATTTCATTCTCTCCTTATGTATAAACCACACATTTCAAAAAATGTGATTCTAAAGAACAAAGTTAAAATTGAAATAGCCTATATACACTGACTTGATAGAAAGGCATATCATAATGCAAAAATGTAAATTCGAAAAATGGGGACACAAATGGGGAACAATTACAGACAACAAAGATTCCAGAGAAATGTATTATCATTAGAAGGTTACATACTACGTGGAAAGCTCAAGAAAATGATACTGAATGCCTGCAACGTAGTTTGCAATGTTTACAAGGCAAGCACTATGATGAATACACTAGAAAGAAAGAAAACACAGTATGCCTATTCCGAAATGGAGTTCATAACATATAGTTTGAAATAGAAGATGATAAAGCTAAAATCGGCGGAATTACTTGATTTGAATCTAGTGTTGTTGTTTTTTTACAGTAGATTGATGATAATTTGGATTAACGCAATTTCAATCATACGGATAACCATGATGTATAAGAGAACGTGAAGAAAAGAACCAAAAATGACGATAAAACGGGTGCCATGCTGCTCGAAGGGATCTGGAAGGAAAACAAGCTGGTGGAGATCATCCGCAAGATCGAAGGAGCCATTATGATCGAGTTCAAGCGAAACGGTAACAATACCATCGCTTCGAATCGAATTCCCCTCTATGTGGGTGAATTCGTGTATGATGAATCGAAAGAATCGTTTCTTCGAAATGGTCGAGGATACTGGATCGATGAAGAAACTCGGATTGCTACTCGCGAAGTGGAATGGAAAGATGGAGTGGAAGTGAGTGGAAGAGATCTCTATGATGGATGGCATATTCATTCATTCATTCACTCAATATTACTTGTTTATTTTATACTATTGCTATGTTAATCACATTACATTTCACATTGTTTTGTTGATCAAATAGAAAGCAAGGTTTTCATTCATAGGATTCATGGATTCCATCCATCATATTATTCAATCGATTGTCTTGTTTAATGATACTATGATTCCTATTCACCATTTCAATCTATGAACCACATTCCTTTCTCTGCAATATCATTCTTTGTATTCAATATGGATAATCATTGTGACAGAAGAGAATCGAAGTATCAACAGAGAATCAATACAATAAACCACTTGTCAAATAGAAATGATGGATTTTGCATTCTACATACTACTGCCATACTCTCTATTACGAATCAAACCATTCCAACAGTATTTACTATTGTGAGTTCGATTGTTGCTAAACAAGATCAACTACCACATAATTGATATATTTTGAAGAACATATATCCATTATAGACTTAATAGAACAGTCATTCTGACATGAGAGAGTAAAGGTGATCAAAATGCGTAATATTATACAATTATAGCTATAAGTATCTGAAAATAACACAAAAATACATGAATAGATGGGAATGCACCGAAATAAAGAATAATAGGAATGGGTGGAGAAAATGAGATTTTATTATATCTATTCTCGTGTGTAACACACCAGTATATCAAAGCCATACACAATAATCCATGACGTGTGTTCTATCGAGAAATAAGGAAACAGATCTTTTCAAAAGATATGTTTTCGTAAGCTTTTTTTTATTTTGATGCAAAGCATTGTTGATTTTGTCAACTCTACTATTAGTAACTATCATATTGATAGTTCCACCATTCAAAATGTGCAAATAATACTGGGTAAAGAAATGAAACCAAATGGCTGGATTTCACTCATTTTGAGTAATAGAGAATGTGTAGTATTGCTCTTCAATAGTGGAGTATTCATGAATCAAGGATTTGTGCTCAATGAGCAGAAAGTGTTGAAAGTGTTTGAAAATCATCAAATTGGTGCTATTTCATATAATGAAGAATTCTTGGTAGAAGGAATCGTGGATTTGGATCATGGGACTCGATTTGAAGGATTGGTATTGACAAATAAAGAAGGTAGAATAGGAATTCCATTTGGATATGGTGAAATGTATGATGATGATGGATTCTTGGTGTACAAGGGCATAATGATCAATTGGAAACGATTTGGATATGGAACGAGTTATCATAATAATGGATGTATTGAATATGAAGGATATTGGTGTGATGATAATCGATTTGGAAGAGGAAAAGTGTATAATCGCAAAGAAATGATGATAAAACATTGTAATTGGTGTTATGGAAATGAAAGTGATTTTGATACTATATTTTACAAGGGAAATAGAAGTAAACCACTAAATATCGGAGTCAAACATTTGATACTAATTAACAATTGCATATTAGTTGATTGGGATATTTCATTGTTGTATAATTTGGAATCAATCGAAATCGGTGATGATTGTTTTGGATCAGTGAAAACATTTCAAATCGATGGATTGAATCGATTGGAAACTATCAATATCGGAAGCAATTCATTTACGGAAGTGAAATCAGATGATTTTGATTTTGATTTTGATGATGATGATTTTGATGATGATATTAATGATGATGATTATGATGAATATGATGAATATAATGATAATATATATGATATATCAAAATCATTCCACATATTGAATTGTGAATCATTGGAATCCATTCAAATTGGTGAATATAGTTTCAGTGATTTTGCTGGAGACTTTGAATTGAAGAATCTACCACAATTACAATCCATTCAAATTGGACCAATTGGAAGTTATTCATACAATTTCTTCAGTAGTTCGTTTGTGATTCGAGGTATTGATATGATATTGAATATTTGAATGATGCATAGATCTTCCAAATCTACAATCCATTACATTAGGATATTATGCATTCCGTGAATCCTTATCGACAATAATTGAAAGTATTGAATGAATTCGAATGAAATGATTGATGTAGATCTTCCATCATTACAATCCATTCAACTTGGTTATGGTGCACTTGAAGGTAGTGTCAGTGATTCAAGTTCATTGATAATGCGAAGTAATAATGAATTGATTGGTTATGATTTGCTTTGTAGATCTTCCAAATCTAACATCATTCACTTCTGTACAATGGAGTTTCCTTTATCCTCGTGTAGTGACATTGGCAAGTATTTCTGAATATTGAATATGGATAGTATTTAGATATTCCAAATCTTCGAAATGTCAACCTACCTAATTCATTCAAGAGAGTTCAAGCACAATTAATTTCGAGTATAGTTTGATTGATTTGATTTGATTCATAGATGTTTCTTCCATTCTCGCTGATCTTGTCCAGATCCATGAATAAATCTATAATTTTGATTTGATTTTATTTGTTCAGTGATTCGTCATTGTTTAGGATTATTTCGATTGATTGAATGCTTGTTTGTTTCAAACCGATTCTTGATCACAATTCATGATTCTATAATTATCAAGATATCAATCCTGC